GAAGAGGAAGCCCCCCGGGGGCAGGGGAGGGGGCGGGGGCGGGAGGGCCGGGCGCAGGACAGAGCCACACAGGCAGCTTCCACTGCTGCTTGCACCCAGGGAAGGGGGGGGTGGGGAGGGCAGGGTGGCCAGATCTGCATGGTGCAGGGTGGGCAGCAGTTGTGCAGGGTGGAGCTGGAGTCAGCACTGCGCGGGGCTTTTCTTGCCAGGGGTTGGGCTTGCAGCAGGTTCTGGCAGTGCTGGGAGGAGGCTGCAGCCATCCCAAATTTCGCCACAGCTCTGTTTCCAGCCCCATGTTGCTGCCTGCTGTAGCCTTGGCTTTTGCTAGCGCATGGGTGGAGATGGGGTGTTCAGCTGGGGCTGTGCCAGGTGGTGCCACGGGGCTGGGAATGGAGCTGCGGTAAAATCTGGAGTGGCTTTAGCCTCCTCCCAGCACTACTGGAGCCTGCTCCAAGGCCAGCCCCCCGCAAGAAAAGCCCTGCACAGCGCTGGATCCATCCCATGTCGTGCAGATCCAGCGGTACGTGCCCCCCCTCCCGGGGTGCAAGCAGCGGTGGGACCTGACCCCACCCCACAAGCCGTGCCTCCATCCTGCCTCTCCCGCCCTGGCTGGGCAGCACCTGCCCCTGCCCCGTCCCTCATCGCAGGGGGGACTTATTTGTGCCCCCCATACCTCTTCCCTCCCCATTCCCCTTCTACCACTCCTGACTTACCACCTGATGGCAGCTGTAATGGATACCGGATTGGTATCGGCTAATATGCCTCCTTAAATATTGGCTATCTTTATTGGGCCCCAAAATATTGGTGCACCCCTACTTTCAGATCTTCAGATTCACCAGTGCAGTGATCAGCATAACAGGTGAAGTTAACAGAGGCAGCTTCATACTATCTTCCTTCCTGCAATTCTAGGTAGCGCTGGAGTTTCTGGCCTACATGAGAATTGCTTCAGGGCTGCGTTAATTTGTATTACTGTTAGGCCCTGGCACAAGTGTTCAATGGCAGCTATCACTGCAAAAACATGCCATGACAACATACCCCCATCCTGTCCAGTGGCTGCCTTAGGATGACTTCTATGTTGAAAGGTGCTGATGGAAGGGATGGGGGAAAAGAAAGGAGTACTTTAAATTTTGTTGCTTTATAATGTGAGAATTACAGGGAGCAGTACTGATGGAAAGGGGCAAAAGGAAGTTCTTCTATCAAGATTTGAAATATAATGATCCTATTTTGTCATGGCTTTGGAGATATGATTTCATTCAGGTTCTAATAAAAAAATTTCAAACCCTCAGAATTCTTGTTCCCCACAGGAACTAATGAGCCCAAATGACCTGGAAAGTAGGAACTGGCCTGGGAAACTGGCTGGAAACCTGGCCAATTTCCTTCAGAAACAAGAACTCTGCTGTAGTTCTGCAATTTTAACTAAGATCAACCTTATCTCATTTTTGAGAAAGCTTTCTTGAATTTTTCTGACCAGTTCTAGGGACTGGAGTCTGCTGAGCAATCTTATATAAGCTGTTTTAAATTGAAACCTTTAGTATTTTAGTCCAATACATACAAAAAGTGAAAACCTTCTGTTTGCTAAATCCCACTGACATCAGTTTAGCAATGACCAAGCATTAGTAATGACTCATTACCTTTGCCTCCTCCACATATGGTGAAAACAGTCTTGGCCTCACATATATTCCAGCATTCTTCTGTCGTAACCAAGCATTTGACTTGCCACCTTCTGCTGTTGGCAGCATGTCTGAAGGAGGGGTGCTAATGAGACCTCTCTTCATCTTTAAGAATTAAAACAAACAAAAAACAAAAACAACACACAAAAGAAAATCACATTTAATATTTTAATAGATAACACTAATAGGCACAGAAGGGGAAGATCCACTGAAGCAACCCTGTCACATGTTGCTGCTGAAGTCTCTTTCCTCGCCAACAGTGGCAGTGTCTCCTCCCTGTAGTGAGGGCTCCCTGGGCCCATCTAGTGCATGGTGGAGCCACGCTGGCTGCACAGAACTGCTGGACACCCCAGAGAGTTCAGGGCCTCTGGGCAGATGGCTTTTTCCTCTGCCCTCCTGCCAGTGCTAGCTCTGCTAGAGAGCAGGCTTGAAGCCTGTGTGCCCACATGAAGTTGCCCAAGAAACAAACTTGGCCAACTAGGTTTCAAGCCATCCCTGGCTGGAGAGGAGACAGCTCAGAGTTGCCTCTTGTGCAAGGAGGCCTTCCTCTAACAAATGGTCTTGTTTCAAGTTATATACAGAAATAGGGGTACATGGTGGGGAAGGGGCTGAGGCAGTGTGACCCCAGCCCCTACCCTGCCATCCACCCAGAGGCATGCATGCATCCACCCCAGCAACAAGGATTAGGCCCCTTGTAGCTCCCCCACTGTCCACCCCTGGCATGCCAACTGAGGCATGGGTTGTGGTTGGGGTGTTTTTGGCACTCTGGCTAAAAATGTTGCTGACCTCTGAACTAAAACATTATTTTAAATTTCAGTTATAACAAAAATACAAGTTTATACAATGTTACTGACTGAGACCAGGGCACTAAAGTTTTACCAAAGAAGAGAAATAACCCAAACCTTGGCACTGTTTGAAGTTATTTCTACAGGCTATATTTGCATGTCTGAAAGGATGTGAGTGAGAAGAAACACTTACAGCATCACTGAGTACTTCACTATTCATGGGTAAGATGTGCTCAATGCGGACAAAAGGTAGAAGGGGAGACAGGATCTCTCTCAGCTCCTCGATATCAAGATCTCTCCTCTTTACACCCCGTTTGTTCACGCTGTGGGCAGTACCACTCAGTAAATTGGGCTCTATGAGAAGGAAGAATAGGCAGATAATTTTTAGGCATACAGATGTTTTAAATAAGGAGTAAGAAGTGCTAGGTTTCTGCTGCATGAAGGTAAAGTAAACCCGTTATATTTCTCTGCTGCACATGAAGGAAAAGAAAACCTGCTCTGAAAATCATGAATAGTGCTTAGCACTCGTATTCCTCAAAACCAGCCTACGCGCTAGAGTGTGACAATCACCATTATAGTTAAGCCTGTCATATACAGACATGGGTCATCTGCCCAAGCCATTGGCCCAAAAAGCCATTTCTTCCCAAACTGCTTTATCTAGTTCATGCTACTACTCCTGTCCTACAAACAGATGGTTTTTGCACAGCTCTACTCTTGCCACCCCACTGTTCCGAAGGACACAGTGGCTTCTCCAGCAGATAATTCTCTCTCTCTCTACATTCACAGATTACAGACCAGGCTCTACCGAACTCCAGGAGGCAGCCGGCTGATTTCATGGGCAAAGTTGTTGGGCCGGCCACCATTTTCATGGGCTGATTACAGGCCTTTCTCCCCCTGCCTCCCCCAATTGGTGGAGGGCTGTCCATTGTACAGCCCTGCCCTGTGTCACTGATTGGCTGAGAGGGCTGCCCATCACGTGGCCCCACTCCACACTGCTGTTTTGAGAGGGTGGGGCTACATGACAGGCAGCCCTCTCAGCCAATCAGTAGTGAGGGGCAACAAAGACATTTCTGCATCAAACCAGGGTTAGTCAGGCTCGCTCTCAGGGTCAAGTTACAGAACTTCTAGATACATCTCTATCTTCTGTATCTATATATGTCTATATAAACTTCATTCAGTTTTTCCAAAACTTGGGCTTTAGCCAACACTGTAGCACAGTGTAATTTCCAACCAGTTTTTATATTGCATTTGATTCAGCAATCATAATCTGTGAGCATAACTTGAGAGAATAATACATCAGTGAACCCCCACGGACCATTTACTGGGTTACTTACTGGTGACCTCATCAACTTCCTTAAATCCTTTATACATTCTCTAAAATCCTTCCTGCCTTTACATTCAGTTTGTACCAGAGAAATAACACATTTCTGAGTAACAAAAACATTTGCGTCTACTTTAGGAAACACATTTAGGTCATTTGATAGTTCGTTGCTCAACCTTTTAAGTTTGATGTGAGAGGAAACACTGCAAAAGGTGAAGATTGAAAGGCTGACAGTCAATTTAGAATAGAACAGACAGACATGACAGACCTGTAATAGCTAACCTAAATAAAATAGCTGAAGTTTCCTCCAACATTTTGTAAGTACAAATAGAAAGTCACTAAATTTAAAAATCAGGAGTGAATAATCACTTTTAAGCAATAGAACATGAAATGAACTATCAAGAATGTTTGTGCTTTTTGTTTACATGTTTAGTGCATAAAGGTTGTTTTAGTGAGGACAAATTCTCTGTCCCATGTAGTACTTTTGTTTCAAGCATAATTACACTTTTTTAAATTATAGACCATCAGACTTATTTACTTGAAAATTGTTTTCAACAGCTCCAAAAGGGCACAAGAAAATAAACAATGCATTTTTTAGAAAGGTTCTTACCTCTGTCTGCTATTCTCTTCATCAACTGATGTTCTCCCCATTTAATAAGGTATTTAAGGATATCTTGTTCACTTGCCTATAATAAAATAAGACATTTAATACAATGCATGCTTAGTTTAGCAATCCATTGTATGGAACCACTGAATTCACAAATCTTTCTCAGGCAAAAATAACAATTTGGTCACCCCACAACAAAAGAATATTCATGCTTTGTTCTATGGCCTGTTTTACCACTTGCTTTCAAGTATTTTACTTTTAAAAAGCAGTAAGATAGTAGAAATAAAGCCAGACTTCCCTGCTGTTAAGCAAGACAAGTTTCCCAGAACAATTTAGTTCTCAGAAAAGCTGGAACACTTCATCCAATTAAAAGAGATAATTTATTTTAAAAATCACTCTCAAACCAGAGCTTGTGGTCCTATTATTCATTACGTTTTGAAGCCAACACAATCTTTCCTCTACTTCACAAGTCTTCGTTATTTTTAATTGCTTACTCTTTCTAAAGAAGAAAAAAAATCCTTTCATTATAATTTTTCTACTCACAAATTCTGAAACTGTTTATGCCATACTCTACCCCAATGTGGAGCCAACATTTTTGGCAGGTGTGCCACAAACTTAGCCCTGCACCCTCCCCAAGTGCCACTCTAATCCCTTTCCCTACCTGATCTACTGCTCTGCTTTCTGCTGCTGTACCACTTATGGTACTCATGTTGCAGGCTGGCCACCCCTGCTCAACCCAGTTTCTCTCTTCCTGCATATCACATTTTTATTAAATATTATTTTCAGCATGCCTGGCTATTTCCTACAACAAACATGAATATGACCATTGGTTCTTAGGGCTTAAAGGGAAAATTCTGTTTCGTCACAGAATCATAAAAAAAAAAAAAAAGATGAGAAAGAAGTCAGGAGGTCATCTAATCCAACCTCCTGCTCAAATTAGGATTGTTCCCATCTAAACAATCTCAGCTAACTGTTTGTCTAACCTGCTCTTTAAAAAAGTCTTCTAGGATGGAGTCAACAACCTCTCTAGGTAATAGTTCCAGTGAATAGCCACCCTCAGATTTAGAAAGCTCTTCCTCATCTCCAACCCAAATCTCCCTTAACATTTAGCACCATTACTTCTTGCGCTATCCCCTGGGAAGAGAGAACAGTTTTATCATCATCCTTTTTGTAACCACCTGCCAGGTATTTGAAGACTGTGACCAAACCCTGTCTCACTTCTCCAGAGTAAGTAATTCCAGTTCTTTCAACCTTGCCTTTTTAGTCACATTTCTTAGACTGTTAATATTTTTTGTTGCTCTCTGCTTGAATATTTATATCTTTCTTGGAGTGCAGTGCCCCAAACGACACAGCACTCCAAGTGAGGTCTCACCAGTGCTAAGGAGAATAAAAGAGTCACTTTCCTTGATGTGCAGGTCATAATTGTATAACTACAACCCAGTATACTATCGGTTTGTTTTGCAATTTGACCATACTATTAAATGGTCCTCAGCTTATGATGCATTATAAACCCCACATTCTTTTCTGCAGTACTGCAGCCTAATCAAGTCATTCTTGATTTTTTTGGGGGGTGCATTTGATTGTTTTGTCTGAAGGCTTAAATCATTATTTAATTTTATCAGATTTATTTCAGATAACATTCCCACTGACTCAAGGTCATTTTGAATCCTAAATTTATTCCTGAAAGTGGCTACTCATTCTCCCACCCAAACTGGTATCACCTGCAAATTTATTAAGTCCGTACTCAATTCCATTCTTCAAGTCATTAAAGAAGATATGAGCAGTACAGGATCCAGCACAGGCCCCATGGGTGGGTTAATCTAAACCTGAACCATCTCAGAATCTTTATACTAGCACCCCTGTGGTTGGAGGTCAGGGCTGTATCTGAACAAATGACATGTCCCTGCTTTAAATACAAAGACAGCCAAAGAGAGCTCAAAGGGCTGCTAGGAACATTTAACATAGGAAAGATTATTTCCAATCTGTTTTACTTTCATTCTTTATGTGGAAAAAGGTTTTGCATGTATTGAATAACAGACTCTGATCTAACCACAGACCTGCACAGTAAGAGTTTGCATACTGTGCTCAGGGTTGAGGTTGTTATTAGAGGTACACTGATATATCGGTCCCACATTGAATTGGCTCTGAGCTAAGGAAAATTAACATTATTGCCGATCTTTTTTTTTTTTGGCTGATGTGACCAATAATGTTACCATGAAGGCTACATGCATGCATGCAGCCACAGCGCAGCACGCAGGTGGCCAGTAGCACAGGCCGGCAGCTTGGAAAGCAGTGTCTAGCTGGTAAGTCTATTGTGGGGGAAGGGGCACTAGGGAAGGAAGGGGCATGACGAGGGGGCAGATGGAGGCCCCCATGGTGAGGGAGCGGGGCTGACGCTGGGGCAGATGGGTTACAGGACAGAGTCATGAGCAGCTTGTCCAGGAGTCGTGGGCAGGGAGGATGACTCCAACCACTACGTGCACCTAAGGAGGGCATGGGGGGGGGCATGTGCCCCCCAGATCTGTGCGTGGGGCAAGGGTGGGCTACCAGGCTCTTCCAGGCAGAGGGCTGGACTGGGCTTGGGGAGGGTGGTGGCGGTGCTGGGAGGGAGGCTACACAGGGCTACAGCCACCCAAAATTCTCCACAGCCCCCCTACCAGCACTGCTGCTGCCTGCCCGAAGCGCAGCCCGGCACAGCCCCCCACCACGAAGAACCTGGCACCAGTCCTGGCCCCAGCCCCAGCCCGCAGCAGCAACCCACCTTTGCCTCGCACACAAATCCAGGGGGCACCCCCACCTCCATGGCCTCCCTCAGCAGTGCGTGTAGTGGTAGGAGCCACCCCTCTCCTCCCTCGGATGAGCCGCAGCTCTGTCCTATGCCCCACACTGGCTGGGTAGTGCCTGCCCCAGTGCCACTCCATCCATCACTGAGGGAGCCTTGATCTGCCCCCCTGCACACCCCTTCCCTCCCCCATCTTCCCACAACAGACTTACCAGCTGGACACTGCTCTCCAAGCTGCTAGGCTGCATATTGGCCAATATGGCTCGTTAAAAATGAGCCATCGGTATCAGTCCAAAAAATCTATCAGCGCACCCCTAGCTGTTATATCCAACTTCAAACTGAGCCATTATCTTATTTTCTTTGCTAAATGTCTGGCAGGGAAACCACCTCAGCTGGTAAAAGTATCCCCTTTAGTAAAGAGGCTGCAACGGTCTTAGGCAGATTAAGTTCTTAAGTAGAAGCAGGTCTAGACAGGGAATTCGTTCCACTTCTGCCATATCTTCCTAAACCAGGTGTGGAAAAATACAGATCTTCAACTTGGGTGTTTTTTTGTTTTTTTTTATGTTGCATTATTTCCTGAAGCCATAAATATACTTGTGAAGTTAGGCACCTCCATTCAGACTCAACAGTGAAGCTTAGCTAAGACTGAGGTAATTCTGTAAAGCTGGGGCTTTGTGCAAAATATATATATATTTTTTAAAAAGAAAATCCAGAATAGAAACTCTTGAGAGGCTCTAAAGCTTGCAATGCCTTGTTCTAAGAGCTGTTTGCTCATAATGCTCACTGGTTCCTAAGCCAAATCCCCGAGAGACATGGAGAGTATCATATGACCCAGTGAAGGGCTGAGTACATTCCCAGAAAGAGT